GCAGGTCAGTTACCAGTTCTTTGAATCTGTCATAATCTCTTACCGATAAATTTCATCATGTTCATACACCAACGGAGGGGGGGGGAGACGAAGTGACAGACTGTGGTAACTGATGCGTCAGGTGTGGAAATGACGTTATTCCACTTTTTGCGGCACATCGAAGACCGGCAAATTGACTTCGAGCATAATAGAGAACAGAAGAAGCTAATTTTCGGTCATTAGCTTAGGAACAAAGTGGAAACGCTAAGAAACTTCTTATCGGTATAACGCCTCAGGTGTTTGCATATATGCAGTTTGATTAGACGGCAGATTAACACGAGGCCTAAACTGAATGAACCAGTATGTGTGTGTGCGAAATGAGGTCACCATAAATGGATAGGGCATATCAAGTGAGTGATGGAGGATTTGATTTGATTTCAAAGGTTATTCGTCAGAGGGGTTGTGCTATATCGTGTAAATGGAAAATGAAAAACGGTCTGATCAGCTGCTCGGTGGCTTAGTGGATAGGGAATAGCCGGATAAAAAGTGTGAAAGGCTTTGGTCATAAATGAATAAAAAAAATGAAGGTGTGAAAACGACAGTACGTGAGGAAATGGGGTGGGAGGAAGAATGGAAAAGTTGCCGCATAGGAATATGGGGTAATCACTCCTATGATCATGGTACCGCAACGTTGGAACCAAATTACGTTGCTTGTCCAACTCCGGCTTCATGCTCCCATTTGCTGTGGCTTCCTGAAACTACGGCTATCGAAATCTATTGCCAACTGTTTTCTCGCAGCGCATTTAAGACTCTCATCGAATACTAAGCCATTCATTATTCAACAGCTTTAGAGTAAACTGCCTTATCAGTCCCAATCCTTTGTTCGATATCAGTTTAGGTGCACTTGTAGTCTAGCCCAGGTTGGATGAAGTGAACGGGTTAGTAACTTAGACGTCGTCAGGTGTTTGGGAATACATCAAACAAGAACTCGCTATATCATCGAATCCAGCTCAATAGGCTCTGTTGGTTAGGACACGTTTTGCATATGTCCAACGGTCGCCTACCACAGTGCGCCTTGTTTGCAGTGGCTGTTACAGTCTGCAGAAAGCCATGTGAAGGCCAGAAGATGATGTGGAGACGAGGCATAAAGAAATGCACAGAGTGATTAGGTAGAGTAGGTGTCTCCTGTCTTCGGGGTTGGGGTCCAAAAGACTCCGAAACCGCATGGTTGGAGACATTGAAGGTCATCGCTGCGAATCGACAGCAATGGCGATCTTATAAGACCAGAATGCTTGAAATAGTATGTACGCATAGTTGGACTGTGTACTCTGTGTGTGGACCATAGAGGTTCACTTTTATTTCCCGTCCAATCCCTGTCCTCCTTACACATTATCACTTACCTTGTATGCGATATGAGTTCAGTGAAGTTCGCTTCACTGGATTATACTGTACAATGATGATGACGGCTTGTAGTGATCGACATCAAGGACACACAACGAGGTGCTTGTGTAGGAGAATATCTGAACACTGCCCGGTCGCTCTTCGAAAAGGAGCAGTGAACAGCTCAAGCCTGCAACGATGGACGAAGGATTGACCCAGAAACATCAGTTGCAAGTTCCTTCACAGCTCCTAAGAACCACACCAAAGAAGAAGATCCTGACTATTGCGGAAGCCATAGCAATGGGGATTATAAAGCCGGAGGTGTGCAAGTAACGTAAGCTGGTTTAAATGTTGCTGTAATTACGGCCATAAGTGACAGGATTTTCATTCTCCTTCCTATTTAATTTCCTCGTTTAATGTCGTTTTCACACTTTCACACCTGTGTTTATTCATTCTTGACTAACACCTTTCACATTGAGTCCTTTTCACACATTTTACCCGGATTTTATCGTAACCCCGCAGCTTGTTGCCAACTGAACAGTTTGCACATACACACATTCAATCAATATCAGCCTATGCCTTGTGTCAATCTCAGTTCAGTTCTTACAACCATCAACCATGCACTTTCGTGCGCTGGTTTTGGTTGCCCATTTGGATAAAATAGCAGAATCATTGTATCAATCTATTGACTTATCGAACTTTATATGTAAATACCTGAAGCGATACATCAAAAATAAATTTCTTCTCGATCCCACTTTGTTCTTATGCATCAACGGGAATATTTTACGAACTGATTAGCTTGTTTGCATTATTCGATTGTAGGATGAGAGAAATGGAGGATGTGGTTTGTTCATATGCTAGATTTCGTCATGTATGGCGCAAATGAAACGTGAACTGAAAAGTTAGGAAGCACTGAATAGCTGTTTCGACCTGGTTGGGTCTCATCAGGAAAATTTATAGAAAAAAACTGTCTAGTGATCCACTGGGTAGTATGCTTGCGTTCTGCTTGTGAGGTCCCGGGTTCAATCGGTAGTTCGGTCGATTGATTCACACTACTGACGAGACCGAATCAGGTCGAAACAGTTGCTCAGTGCTTCCTAGCTTTTCTTCATTAATTGACCAAAGGGGTAAGTAGAAGACAGCAATTGACACCAACCCCTGAAAGTTCACAAACAATACCTGAGCAGACTGCTCTGCTTAGCCAGTAGATTCTGATGGGCACACAAATATCATACAGGTCTTATATGTCATATAACAGGCGAATCCAACTCGAGTGAGCAATAAATTGCGATTTCGGTTTCCAACCTTTACTGAACCCAATGAGAAGAGATGGCGGAACTATTCATTAAACGAATGGGAAGATCAAGGAAATCATGGAGACTATCAAACAAGAAGACATAACGGTATGTGAAATATGAGACGAGTACTAATAAATGCATTGGAAAAAAACTTCCAACCTTCCATCTGGCAGATTAGAAATTGTGGAGATTTGCTTACCATTGTCATGCCAATAACCTTCATCCACCAATGAGGACTGGTCGTCAGATAGCGACTGTCTTGAATCCAGGGCATTAGGTTCAAGACGTTTACCGTGAAAGGTGTTATCCATAGTTTGACAGAACGCTGTTAAGTGAACGAGGAGAGGAGGTTAATTCGGTTGGGATCGAGCGGTCAGTGCATCTAGTTCCATCAGTTCAATGAATATGGTTAAGGGAGAGTTGATAACTTTGAAGTTAGATGGAAAATTACAGTGTCTGTCCCACTAATAATGTGGGGTTAGTGGACACGATAGGGCAAAATAACAATAAACTGCATAAACTGCAAGTTTGATGAGCAACAATGTCACAAGGACCTCAGAAGATACAGTTATGGAGCGCATCTTCAGGTGGAAGATTGGGACACGACAGCCAACACTAGGGCTGAGCGAATAGGGCGAGCTTAGGCCACGGACGATCAACAGCAATGCCTACCACTTGTCGACGGTTCATTACACAAAACACCATACATGTGTGGACATAGTGAATGTGGCCCTCGAATAAATTTCGTCATTGCCACTTACCAAGATCTATTGCCTGACGAGATTTTCAACAACAAGCAAATGAACCAAGCACTTGGCCACTGGTTCACGCGACACGGCGCTGCTACCTTACAGTTCGCGCATGGTTGCGCAAAGGCCTGAATGCACGCTCTAACAAGGAGACCAAACAGTACAACAAAACATAACGCGAACAATCATGGACGATTTTTCATTGCCGAACTTGAATGCCAAGCATTTTCCTTTAACTGAAAACAGCATTCTACACCCTTCTAGCCATCCAACCTCCCTCCATTAAACCCTAACCATCTGACCCACTTTCATTTTATCCTGTAGTTTGAACGATCGCAGTAACAGTAGTGCGTTAGAGCGAAATTTAGCCGCGTCCTACCTCGATCATCGTCCAAGTAGCATCGAATCCCTCACCAGCTGAAGCCCGGTTTTATCCTCGATGTTTCTTGCGAACTAGCTCAATTTACCGTGCGTACAAGAAAACTGGAGTGTTTGGCCCGGACCATGGTAGCCTAACCATTGATGTGTCGTAACCAAGAGATTTGCATTTAAGACTCCAGCTCCATTGTCCGAGTGCACTCGTCCCCAAAACAATGCACAAGTTTTCACTTACAACTTTCTGGAGAAACCTAAGGCTGTGGCTTCTGATCTTGCTGGCGTTGACGCAGGTCTTAAAGAGGGAGCTTCAGTCATAGTGCTAGATTGGATCCCATTTTATAGTCAGTTATGCGTAGTGAGACTTAGAATTAAATTCCATGCAGAACATTAGAGTAAGAATAAACGCAATCCTTTCACTTCTTGTTATTCGATACACAAATGTACAATTTTCAGAGATTGTGTGGACAGCAGCCCTTAAAGCGCTTCCCGGGGACATAGAAGGGAAAAATTCGGTGGTGGAGTTTACAACCATTAACCATGCACTTTCGTGCGCCGGTTTTGGTTGCTGTCTNTTGGTGCCCCATTCGGATAAAAGAGCAGAATAAAGATTGGAATGTTGAAAGCAAATTAAAGAGGAAGATGGAGAATTCATTTAGTATAGTGATAGGGGAATAATGAGTGGATGCATGAGCGCCACTGTTTGCGACACCCAGTCATATCACTCAGTATCTCTAACCATCGGTGACCATCATCCCAAGGTCCCCAGCCAGGGAGCCTAAAGGGGCCTATGTGACCTAGTCTCCTGGTTAGGGTTTTCATACCCTCATGCCAGGTCTTAGTTTGACCACCCTTGATGTTTTTCCAACCGCTACCAGCCTTGGCAAACATCACTCGCCGCGGCAACCTATCTGATGACATGCGTAAAACGTACCCCAACCAACGTAATCTATGCAGGTCGATCACTTGGACGAGCGCGACTGCCTAAAACTCCTAACCTCAGCGTTGCTGATCCGGTTACCCCAACAGACTCGTGCAATGCAACGTAGACAGCGGTGTTCAAACACCGATAATCCATTTTTATCCTGTTCCCGTAAAGGCCAAGTCTCTGCACCGTAGAGCAGGACTGGCCGAACTGATGAGGACAGCCCGTCGGGGCCGAAAGCCTTATGCCGGTTGAGGTAACTTATTTCCCGAGTAACCTCCGTTTAAGATGGAGGACTGATATCAACTGGCAGTATTTGCACAGTTGAACCGGGTGCAGGGAAGTCTCGTGTCGAAAGAGACCAGCTGAACTGTGCCGTAAAATGCTTTACCCAACGTTCAAGACGACGTTCCTGAATTTGAATTAGTGTACCGTCAACCTTCTTAATTACCTCACTCACGCCTGCTTTCCTTGGTCCTGTAATTCTAATTAAACGAAAAAGATTGCGACTATTACCGATAGCAGCAGCATTCTCTATCTCTCCGCACTTCCCTACCCACCACTTCTCGCGGTCATTCCTCAGACTCTTGATGAGGGCTTGGCGTGTTTTGTCGTATTTTGAATCCGAAGGAATGGCTCTGCGAGCGTCCAGTAGGGGAATCGAGGTCGGAGAGATCCTTCGTTTTCATTTGATCGTGCATCAGAATTTGCCGTTGTTTTTATTGACGTTTGGATCGCTTCCTTGATTGCCGACCAGTGTTCACTCAGTCCTCCGGATGGTGATTGAGCTGAGAGGTGATCTGATAGTTCCGCCTCGAAGGCCGATTTGCAATTGTCGGTGATACTGTATTGTGGGCATTCGGTTTTGGCGACTTTTCTGCGGTTGTTTATCAGGCATAGGGAGAATCTCGCTCGTAGCAGAGCATCGAACGTGTCCACGAGTGTTAACCAGTAGGAGCGGTAGTCTCCAATGGATCCTCTCCAGCGGTGGCTGATGGCGATGTGGTCGATTTGAGACGACCCAACTGCCGTGTGTGGCGTTCGACCGCCGCAAACCAACAACGGACGCATATTGACCGCGAACAGGGGAAGCATGCATGACTACTGATCGTGCTGGGGTACCTACTCAAATGCGATGACGCATTAGTCTGCATAAAGTTATCCACAAGGTGAGTGATCAATACATACTACACAACGACGGTAAGACTGGGATAAGCTGTCTCAACCAGATTGCCTGTCTTTCAAGAAGAGCTAGCTGAAGAGCTAATAACAGCCCTAACCGATAACATCAATCAACACTGATGATTCATCAAGAATGCTTTGTATTCCGTTGGCATAGTTAGTTGAGGCCTGACATAGTATGTTGTGGCACCCTGGATTTCCGCCAAGATTCTGTCTCCTGGATGCAACAATCTGGCTTCATCAAGCTAGTCAATTGCTTATTAAGGGTAGCTCCTTTGAAGACCGACAGTTTCCATTTTAGTTTGTAAAACCATTAACCATGCACTTCGTGAGCCGGTCGACAGGATAGCCCATGGCAAGATGAATATTTGTGCCAATTTCTAAACATGTCTAAACGTCTCACTAGATCATTAACATCCAGTTCTGATACCAGAATATATCTTTACCAAACTGAATGGTGGTACTTATTTTGCTAAACTTGACTTATCGGATACATGTCACCAAGTGAGCACAGCCGATAACTCAAAGGAGTTACAATGACGATAAACACTCATCGCGGCTTGTTCCGGCACAATCGTTTGCTTTTCGGTATTTTCAGCAACTGATGGACACTGTGTCGATCTGTATGACAGACACTGCAGCATACTTGGGTGATACCAGCGTTATGGGCCACACACAAAAACTTTTTAGCAAACTGAACATAGTGCTGAGACAGATTTAAGATCATGGCTTACGAATTCGGGAAGACAAGTGTGACTTGTTCATTCCCTCGGTTTCGTTCTGTACAAGGATGACCACCAAACCAAATCATAAAAAATCAAGCAATACAGGACATGCCCCACCAACGGACTTGATTACACTGAGATTATTGTTGGGCCTCATGAGTCACTATGGTGCGTTTCTTACTGGCATGTATCGCATCTGAGCCCAAATGAACCAAATTATAGTCAAGGACTAATCATGGAATTGGTTGACGAACTGCCAGAACGCCTTCGAATGTGCAAATTCCATGCTCAACTCAGACCTGTTTGTGACATTTCAACCCGACGCTTGAGATTATCATGGAAGCCGATACCTCAGTGAGGTTAGTGCAGTTATCCCTCACGAATTTCCAAATGGATCATAGGTCATTTGACATGCCGTCAGATCGTCAACTACGATGTTACGCAACTAAAGAGATCGAAAAGGAAGCCATAGCTATCATGTTCACCGTGAAGGAGTTTCACAAGATGCTCTGAGGTCACAAATTCACACTGCACACCGATCACAATCCAATGATCGCAACTGTCGGCTCTAAAAAGGGCATGCCAGTCTATCCCACCAGTCTTCGATGTTGAACACGCATACTTCTCAGCTATGTTTTTGCGATCCTCCATTGAACCTCAACATCCTCTGGTCAAGCATATGAACTGTCAAAGCCTCCGAAAGCCTCAGTATGGTCGGGGTGGGTGTCTCAGATTGTGACTAGTCGCCATTCCCTTACACCTCGCAAAATGCTCCTATACGACCAAGCATCTCAAACAGCCTCTGCTGAGGAAGCCCTACTCATTGCCTTCTCGTGGCGGAGATATTTCCCGACCAAAGTGAGAGGACAAAAAACCGACATCCGTTGCTATAATCGGGTTGGTGGACCACTGGTAGTTCACCTAGGGGGGTTGGCCAAAGACCCTGAATCCAAACCAAACAAAAGGAGGCGTAAGTACCACACACAACATACTGATTGTGGCAGTGATCACCGGCTCGGTTGGGCATCGAGGTGTATTGGTCATTCGACACCGTCCAAAGGGCGTATGATCCGATGAAATGGACACCGGCCCCCCATGGATTGCGGTTTTCACACATCGCTGGTCAGGTTTTGGCTAGCCGAAGGCTCCGGTTGTGGATTACCCAAGAAAATTCACTTGCATCGGTCTAGGCAACGTGGCAGTATTCAGCTCATATGCAAATCATGGAACGCTTTTCTTTTTCACATAGCTTATTGTGCCATGGTTTGTTTGGCACCGTCTGGCGTCAGACGTGTGTGAAATATATATGAAATATGTGTGGAGTTTAGACAGACCCGGTTCAATCGGTGATGTTT